TTACTGAGGTCTACAAAGGCAGCCTTTTCCAGATGACAAAGGCCACAGTGTTCAATTTCTCTCTCAATGCAAGGAAAGCATGTTTAATAATGGATCCTATGTAGCATTTTTCTGTACACGCTTCTAACGTTTGCAGGTTGATAGTTTTTTCAGGTGTTTTTTTTTTTTTTGGTTGGTTGGTTTTTTCAGTTTTGTTTTTGGTTTTGTTTCTTTTTTTTTCTTTTTTAAAAGACAATGATCTTTCTAAAGCAACTACACTGCTTTCCATAGGTATGCATAAAACAAACTCCCTGGAGTAGCAAGAACGAGAGAACACTATCAAGTTGGCCTAAAACAACATCTGGCCCAGAACGCCACAAAAATGGTAAAAATTACCACTGACACCGTGAGCTCTGCCACTCTCCAAAGACATACTATTCTCACTGGGAAAAAGTATCTCAGATGTTCAAGAATCTTGACTAAGATGGTCTTACTGGTAATCCATCAGCTTCAGATTTTAGAGGCAGCCAGGGTGGGAGAGGATATTAAATCTATCATACCTCTTATAAATCTGGAGATTACAAGATGAAGTAAGCAAAATTTATCCCGGAAACACGTAAAAACTGTGTATCATGACGCAGAATTTTTGCAGAGACTAAGCCTTTAAATTATGGAAAGCATTCTAGGGAACCCATATAGAAAGGGAGCAACACTTCTGCTAACGTACTAAAATTAACATACAGTTTTTGAAAAGTCGTCTTTTAAGAGGGTCTGAACTCTTGAGGCAAGAGTTAGGTAAAGAAAAAGAAGTTCTTCCCTTAAGCTGAAGTACTTGTTTTGGAGAAACTTTCCATGTATGAGAAACTCTGGTAGAATGTTCTCTACCCAGCAGCACAGAATTCTTTATATCAGTGTACAGAAGGCTACTATGGAACCATGAATATAGCAGACTGGGTCAAATATTGACATAGGGGCCTGGATGTCCAAAGGATTGAAATGTCTGCTTCCCATTGATCTTGGCATTCATGTTTTGATTCCATTCCTGACAGCGTGGCTACCTGGTATTGCTGCTTCAAAAGACAGATTGCACTGCTTACAGATTTCTAGGTGGATTATTCTTCCTCTGCATTCACCTACTCAGTATGGGGGAAGTCTTTGGTTTGGATATACAAGCCTTGTCACCTCTGACTAAGAGAAAACTGCATACTTTTTCACTAACACCATATATTACTTCAGATCCCTGTTCTGTATTGCATAGCAAGAAGTTCAGAGAGCGCTGAGATGCCTTTGGAATCTATCTGTATAAAGCTTACACTGTCAGGAATGCATTCAACCAACCAAATAATCAGAGGTCATCACAAGAGCAAGTAATCAGCCTTGTTTGTCTAGACACATGCATGCATGTGTGCATGCAGGAAGAACACAGGGGACATAATCTAGAGCAATTCCATTCCACAGAGAATGTAATTCTGCGTAGTTCACACTATAGCAAAACCTATTTTGAACATCAAAGCAGTGGAAACACTGAGAAGGAACAGCTTTTTTTGCAAATTATGAACATTTTGTATAGGTTCATTAAGATAAGCAAAGATTAGGACTCGCCATCAGACTAACTGCTATATAGTGGATATAAACAATAGTAAGATGGTCTTGATTTACTTTTTTTCTGAAATTATCACAACCCACTGACTACAGTCAAAATGCTCAAACCAAAAATATCTACTCTATCGACTGACACATAGATTTCCTGCTTGCCTGCAAATGCATTCAGAGAAAAAGCTACTTCTTCCAAACAGGACCAGCTAAAAGTTTCCCAAGGAGGACAGCAAGGTACCTACCAAACAGCATATATACTAAATACACCAAAGCAAGCAGCATCCTGAAACTATGTACTTTTTCCTTATTTTCTGCAATATTTTCCTTTAATTGGCTCCATGTCTGAATCCACTGAATTGTTCTTCAGGAGCCCTTACTTTTCTGTTTTCACAGGGATTTTGATGGGTCTTAATGCAGCCGTGCTGCTAAAGTCTTTACCATGCTGTAGGAAAGTACTGATTCTTTTTAGAGTAAACAGTAACATCAAACCTGTAACAATTTCATGCATGGCTTTCATTTTCACAGAAAGTAAACAATGGCAATCTAGCCTACCAAGTTGTCCCAAACTTATCTCACTTCATCAGGGAAGATACCAGTGCCCTTTAAGGAATCTGAGAAAAATCTCTTTGCTCAGAAGTTCCCCTCTGTCATCACTTTTCAAGAACCTTCCTCTTGAAAAGCATGTCCTGTACCTGTCAGTACTCCAGCCCCATTAAAATCCACTACTTAAGAATCATGCCATTAGCAGATTCTCTGCACTTGTGCCTAATCCTTACCCTTGAGAAAAATCAACAGAACAATGGCCTTCCTGGATCCTTGGAGGACCCAAATGCTTTGTTACATGTGCAACATGCAATATGCATATGACGCATATGCAAGATGCAATATGTATCTATGTTACATGTACAAAACTGCTTAATTGAAAATGGATCCAAAGGAAGCATAATTCCTAAACTCAATTACAAGGCCTAATAAAACCAGGCTTAGAGTTTTATTGGTTTGATTTCTTGAATAATATTTGATGGCATTATCACAGAAATCTGTTAGAGGGAAAATATCTCCAAAGCTATGGAATAAATCTGTTTCAATGCCAAAGAGCTCAGTATTTCTTTTACACTTGTGACAAGAAAAAGGACTAAAATTCTAAGAAAGCTTTCAATTATTTTTTTCTAGGATAATCCTGGAGCAATTAAAGAGGCACTCATACTCATTTTTCAAGTGTTTGTGCTCAAGTTATTATAGCTTTCTATGTGTAAGAAATGCATCTGCCAAAAAGAAGTAAGTCTAGGCTGGGCTTGGCTCTGACATTTCTCAGGGTACATGGTAATTTAATAGCTGGCCACACAGAAGATAAGCAAGCCAGACATGTAGATTTTCCATCTGAACACTTCCCATTTGCATCTAAGATGGAATGAGAGGTTTTGTTGAACTTAAACTCCTACACTACAGGACCCTTAAGCTCTGCAACAGCCACTTGGACTGCAGCTGGCACCCTATTTTTTCTTCTCCTTTTCTATATAGAAATGGGGATAAAAGCAAAACAGAGATGGCCTCTCACTGGTCTGTATTTGTAATGCAGACACAAGGCATAATGATTGTTGAGGAAAGCGATCTTTAGAGAATACACCATTCTCCCCAACAGCTTCCACAGCTAGCACATGATGCAACCATCTGGTCCTCTAACAACTGCCTTTTGTACGTTTTTGCAAGGACTGGCAAGAGACAGCAGAAGTAAATGCTCCTGCAAATCTAACGGATCTGCTGCTGGCTAGAAGGCGGCACAGTATGATAAGTACTAATACATCAGTGAGTGTTCAACTCTGCTAGACTTATGTACAACTTTGACAGAGACCTGTACTACAAGTACTACAAGTGCTCCGAATCTCGTATCAGATCTGTGATAGGTCACAGTGAATCCAGGAAACTCAAGATAGAACTTGGGTCCTGTATCGTAAAATTTCGAAAGTGAGGATGGTTAACTTGGGCAACAGTGAGAAACCATATAAACCTATAGGCTCAAGTGGCTTCTTAGCAGAAATGAAGCACATCTGCTCCTACCAAGCTGAAGACCAGAATCTGACTTTCAGAAAAGATATACAAAGGCTTAGGCCCTAATATTGCTCCAGCAAAAGTTGCAGGATAATGATAGGACAGTTTAATATTGGCAGGTTCAACTACAGTTTTCATCTAGACCAAGAAAAAGGACAAATTATTACAGGTTACAGTAAGCATCTACAGCAAACTCACTTTTTAGACAACTTGAGACCTACTTCAAAAACTACCTATACACACAGATGAGCTCAGCCTGCTATGCACTGTGGTTAACTGCTGAACTTCTTTTGCTCAAAAAGGTATCAGTTCTGCAGCACGCTTGCTGTGCAATTCACACAGTTCATAAGATTGTTCACTGCAACATCTATATGCTAGAAACCTCACAGCTCAGAGTTCACAGCTCTTTAGTGTAAAGTTTTAGAATTTAAATGTAGGCTTGAAATAACGTATGCTAAGCAATACATTTGTGCTTTTCTTACTCTTTTTTCACAACTCCTTTTCATAATCTCTCCTCTCCCACTCAGACTTCTAGCTCCCTCCTTCCCAGAGCAGTAGATCATTGCTGCTTTGTCCAGCGTCACTCAGCATTGGAGGAAACTGTAGGCTGGCAAACGACAGCTGTTATTTGTTGGCTTTTTTTTTTACTTGACTAAACCATACACCTACTTCTTTCTAACATTTAATAAAGGAGAATTATAGGAGGTTTCTGTGCTTTTACATAATCCACTCCTTTTTCCAAGTTTTTCCTCATTTTCATAATTTCACATATCACCTCTAAGATATCTTCAAATGTCCTCCTATAAACCTCCTGATATTACTGATACTGCCTGTACCCAACTATTACCTTTTTCTTTTACCCCGAAATGTGCTTTTTTCTGAAAAATATTCAGACAAAATAAGCTGTAATATCCTGCTGTTTAACCAACCTGTTTTATCTCAAATTTTTCAGACATACTCAGTTTAGAATAACCCTCCTATTCTTACTGGTTTTTAAGAGCAGAATAGCTTCCTGATCTAACGCAGGAAACCTAACACCAGTAATCCACTAATAATCTAGAGAACTAGTACAAGAAATTAAAGAGAGCCAGTGTAATTTCAATCAACAGTAAATGAAAAGCACAAATAAAAATAATTTAACTTCTAAATCTGGAAAAACACATGATCTAGGAATAGCTTTCTTAATTCTTGCAGTGCATAATGGTATGTGAATAAGACTACAAATACAATAATTCATTGGACTCCCAAAGTAGTATGCCCTTTGAATTCACACCAGCTATACACAGGCACAAAGTATTTCTCCTTACCTTTCTTCTTTATCAAAAAAACAAAGCGTTATCTTGTTATTTCTTGCAGCTTTGCTGAGGCTTACTTACCGCTTCAGAATTATCAATGAAAGGGTCCGTTTCATCATAACCATAACCTATATCGATTAGATCCTGCAGGCGATCTTTCCGATGTTTGTGAGGCTTCCCACCCTGAAAACAAAGAAGGTATTATATCACTTGAGAAAAGCAGAAGGCGTTGGAGGAACAGTCATTCAAGGAATTAGCAGTTTTGCTTTCTTGGATGCTTTCTGGAAGACAGACTAGATGACTAATGAAAACTTCCACACAGGGATGAGTTCTGGCAAAAATGCCTCACCAGAATCATCCCTGAAAGGTATTAACTGGCTACCTCGTTTCTGCATGACCGAGATCTTCCTGACATTTCCCATTCAGAGAAAAGTTTCACTGTCCCATGGTTTTAAAGCATAGTGATAGGACTGTTAGTGATAGAAGAGCTGCGATACTTTAGGAAGTGTTAAGTTTTTCACTATGTTAGTATCATTAGAAGGGAAAATACTGACAGCCTAGCATTCAGTAAAGTGTTTCCCAACACAAGCATGATTGCTTCTCTAAAGTCAAGTCAAGCCTAAACAAAAAGAAAAAAATACTGATCTAGTACTTGTAGATATAGTGTCTAAGAGTTTAAGAAGTTAGAGCATTCATATGACATAACTGTAGAAAAATATATTAAGATAAAATCCTTTGAAATGCAAGATCAGTCATCTCAGTTGACAGGACTGAAGATAAAACACTGAGTTTTAAAACATGAAAGTTACTTGAGCCAGAAGCTGCATCACAGACTATGGATGGGTTCACTTATCTCTGGGAAGCAGTAAAATTAATCTTATTCTGTAAGTATTTTTTTCATGTGGAAGTTCCATTGTTAAATCAAGTCAAGTAAAAACTCACATCCAGCTCAAACATTCAAGAAATCTAAACTTAAGTTTTTTAGCTCACATATGTTGTCCAAATTGTCAATATACAAGTCTTACAAGATAAAATTCTCCAAAAGGCACCACATTCACTAAAATGGTAACTTCTTCCATGAGTTCAAGAAGACTTGCTCCTGAAAATTGTCTTCCTGCATTCTACAGTTTTGAGCATGCTTAGAGTAAGCATGAGTCTTTCCTGTTGTGACATCCAAATATCACAGCCCACTTGCTAGTAAGAGTATGCAGACATTGTTCAAAGGAAGTTTCACCTTTGGTCTTTTATGAAAAGTGTAAGCATCTGAACACCTCCATTTTAACAACGTTTTGCAAAAATTCAAGATTGTAATGAAGTAAAGTATCTGCTCCTGCAAGCAAACAGGAATCTCTCAAGTATACTTAAATAAATAAATGCCACAGTCCTAGGAGAAAAAACTCAAAAGTGCATTCCATTTTTAATTCAGGTTTCCAAGTTATATTCCAATCTAAGTGTTCTATCAGTCCTATTATCTCCTGCAGTCACTCATCTGGCAAAACATCTGAATGACTGCACATTCCCAAAACGTATTCTTTTTTTAAACAGAGGAGTTTGAATGAGAGAAGAAAAAAAATAAAGAAAAAATGTTATAAAAATAAAGGCAGAATTCCAATTAAACTCCAGTGCATCCAGTGCAAGAGCTTATGTAATTCATGCTTCTGACTTAAGCGCCAGCAGGCTGTATAAGAATGCTTCATAAACTATACTCCACCTCTTCACCTGTACTGGTCTCACTAATGTGTAGTGCAATCCACCTCCATACTACATATCTTGCTAGGTTATCCTACGATTCTATGATTTCGGCACAAGGGGATTAAAAAAAAAACAACAAACAATTAAAATTTCCAATACATTCTAGCTGGCTGATAGTCATTAAAACCAGATGTGGAAAAGAGTTAATAAAAACAACAAAAATAAGAAGTCTCATAACAGCTGAATGAACAAAAGCAGGATTAAAATAGTAACTCATATTCAGACATATGAAAATACCCGAACCCCTGTGTGTATAGTTAGAGATTTTCCTTCAGGCCTGGTTTTACCCAGGTATGTTTAAGGAACTGTATTGAGAGCTCGTATGATCAAGATGTTAAAGATGCAAGACTACAGCAGAAGAACTGAAGGGATTATCTCTGTCAGTGTTTACTATACAGCAGTTCAAGGAAGTTTTACTACTGAAGCTTTCCTCTAACCTTTCAGTCCCAAAACATAAGTCATGGTAGCAGAGAAAATTAAGATGTCTAGTTCCCGAAACTGCAAATACGACTCATGCAAGTATTCAAAAAAGCCAAATAAGACTTCAACAAATTAACTGTGACATGTAACCTTGGGTTTAAACAACCTTTGCCCAACAGGACTAGAAGGTGTGTGGCAAATACAATGCCAATATTTGAAGAATCTTACAAGGGCCGCAGCAGAATCCATAAACCAGTAAACCTGGTCACTACATTGGGTAAGTTAATAAAAATTCTAAACAACAGAACCAGCAGGCATAAGAATATACATCACAAAGCAGGAAAGAATTTTGGTAGAAAAAAGTAGTACTTTGAGTGCTGTAGAACAGGTCCAAAGATCTTTAAAGACAAGAAATTGTCATGAGATAAGGAGGGTCCACTCAAATTGATGCCTGATTTAAGACGAGGAAAGTAAGGGCAGAAAAAGGTATTTCATTTTGGCAAAGAAAGCAATCAGTGAAATCACTAAGGAACGTGTATTCCCATTCATCTTTAGAAGTAACAGAGAGGTTTAACAGTTTGGGGAGGGTGGGGGTGTAAGATGATAAATTACTGAGGATAGTAAAGAAAAAAGACAACTCGAGAATCACTGAAAGATCTCACAGTTGCTCTGAATTTAATATGGTTAAGTAGTCAGCTGAATTCAGTATCAATAAAAGCAAGGTAATCCACACAAAGGAGGTACAACCCAAGCAAGAAAAAATACAGTAATCTCCAAATTTGTTATGCTACCTGGGAAGCACTGGAGTTGTTACACACAGTTCTATGACATTTGCTCTACAGTCACAAGTGGTCAAAAAAGTAAGAATTGGGACTGTAAAAAAAAAAAAAAAAAAGGAATGGAAGAAAAAACCCAGAAGTCATCATTATATCACTGATAAATCAGGGCACCATACCATTAATATCCTTTCATTTAAAAAAAGAAATTAGAACAAAAAAGGGAACAGTAATCCAACAAGGATGTTTAAAGGTAAAAACTACTGCTTCTATACAATAACAGAACGTTAAGACACTACAGCTGGAGAACGAAAGGGCTGAATTTAGATGACAGCAACAAAATCACATGCAGTGTGCAGGAAAACTGGATATATTTCACTGTTTCTTACAATACAGAAACTATGGAGCACCATGTGAACTCATCAGGTTTTAACACAAAATATGTTTTTATATGACCACTGTCATGGTACTCAGTGCCATGGAACACAAATATCCAGTAATGATCTGCCAAATTCATGGCAGAAAGCTATAAAAAGGTTAAACGTGCAGCCTTTGGCTTTGGGATAAATTAAGACACAGATTGCCAGAGAGGCACAGTGCACACTTGCTTGGTTGTACTTTCAAGTACGAGATTTCACTAGTGTCAGAGGACTATGCTACCATCCATTAGACGGACCTTAGTTTTGAGCCAAGAAAAATTCTTACACTAGGTACAATACTGTCTGAAGTTCAGTATCATGTGTTCACGACACTGCTGGATTTTGTCTAGAGAATAACAGCAAACAAAACAGTGAAAATAGGAACCCTTCGGAGCAGATTCTTATGCTGGTATTTAAAATGTGCTGCAATTCCAAAAAAGGGCTGAATAATCAAGTAAACAAATGCTATGTTATGCATCTCGTTTTACAAAAATCCATTTATTCATAGGCTTTTTCTTAGGATCTGGAAAATACACCAAATAATATACTGATTTGATGATAAGTACAGGAATTTATCTGAAAAGAAGTAAAAAGTCTTCAAGGTAGACTGTTCCTCACATACCAAATTTTCCAGAAGTACCGCGCACGTGCTACGATTAAAAACATTGTCTGACTCCATTTTAAATGGATATAGGTAAGTAATACCTAAGTAATTTAAGGAGGATATAGTACTTCCTGCAAATCAGAAATAGAGGGTTGGGTTTTTTTTTTTTCATTCTCATACAACCAGTGATTACTTTTACACTAAAGCTCTGTTAAGGAGTGTCGTGGCTTAACTCCAGCTGGCAACAGTACCACGCAGCCTCTCATTCACTCGAGGAGAAAGGATATCTACTACATGGGATCCCTGCTCTAGTTTAAGCCACAGAGTAAACATCTCATAAGAGTCAGAAGATGGCTGGATGTTGTCAGAATGAGCAGTTGTACTGGGTCAACGTACAGAGCTGCAATTCCTCTGAGCATCAGTGGCAGGTAAAGATGGATGATTCTCATATTGGAAGAGAGAAAGGACAGAAAATATCTAACACAAGAAATCTTAATCCCTCACCACCCTTCATGCTTAGTGGCCCTAACCTAATAAGTTGTTCTTTATATAGAAGACATTACCTTTTGTGGGGTTGAGGGGCGTAAGGTAAGGCAGAGAATGAAAGGGAAAAAAAATCAGAAGTGCAAGCAGTAATCAAGATGCAAGTGCACCATGAATTTAAACTGTTGAAAATTGTACATTTTTGTTACCTTCTGCTTTCTAATAGTTAAAAGCATCTATCTGCCCCTTTTTATGACTACTGAGCACTGAGCTTCAGTTTTCTTCACTCTAATAACATGTTTTGTCTACAAATGTACATGTTTAGTTTTGATGTATGCATAAATGTATATGTTAAAATAGATTACTTCCACTACCACTCCCTCCTACATACATTGCTTTACATGCTTACATTGACTTTCATCTACTGTAGTTAAGCAACTTGTTTCAGGACATCATAAGTCCTTACCTTGTATTATGGAAATGAGTTTTCTAAAAAAAGTACAGTTGAAACAGTTTTCTCTCACATTGAAAAATTATTTATCATTCAAATTAAAAGCAAACAGTATTCTGAAACTGCCTTCTCAATTCACTTCCTATACTGCTGTCAATTCCTCCAAAAGATGAAAATTATTTTTTTCAGTTTAAGAGTTTGTTACATATTAGAGCTAACATGCTTTGAAATAGTAATTACTGCTACAGAATGTATAGATTGCACACTCAGAAAAATCTGCCTCTGTTAGAAAAATAAAAAAAAAAAAATCAAAAAAGATAGATCTTAGTATGTGTGTTAATAGCAAAAGATACAAATGACTGCTCTTGTTTCCCTTCTTTATTACTGAGGTGCTCTATTAGTAATCCAGAATATCAACATGCCTCAGCATGATGATGAGCTTTGATTGCCAGCTCAGAATTAATCACCCAACCCTACCCATATGAATTCTTAAAGACCTGTTTGGGTGTGGCTTTTGTCAACATTTTCTGATTTTCTACCTTCATTTACTAGTGTAAGCCTCTTTATGTTACTAGCTAGCTTTATTCATACTTTCAGGAGTCAGCAGAGTATCTTTAGGCAGCTAGCAGCTACAAGAAATTCATCGAGCAATGTCTTACTATTCAACAAGTAACTTCCTATGGAAGCATTCCAAACTAGTCAGAAATTCATCAAGATTCATCAGTATTTAGCCCAAACAGAAAAGCTGTTCAATAGTGCACAACAGCACTACATAGAAATTCTTTCCTCCAGCACAGTATTTAGCATGAATATCAACCTGCATCTAATAGTTGTATTTATATAGGAAGCTTTTCTAAGAATAGCTTCACAAGCTATAACATCTATAGACAAATCTATTTAGCAGACTTGTCTGATAAGCTTGTGGCAGCTTCAAGGTGCTTAAATGAAATACAGTGAGACAGTCATCTCGGAAATGTACAGAAGTCATTTGACACTACATCAGCAACCTTAATCAGGAAAAAACAACCCTGTGATATTAAGACCTCTACAGCATCATAAGTTATCACTATTAAATATTTGTGTATTTTAACAAAGCAGAGTAACTCACATATTTTGCCTCAAACTTCTTGGCAAGCATTTCTACTTCATGTCGCTCACGTTGTTCATCATTAAATGGATCTTCCAAGTGAACTGATTTCTTCTGAAAAAAGCAGAAATTACATATTCATTCCACAAGAAACACCGAGTGTGTCTGATAAAAACCTATTATGCCAATAAACAATGCTCTGATGACTAAGTAGCCAGAATTTATACTGTGTCCAAATACTTACTTTGGTCTATAAAAATTAATTTGACTCATTCAATTATCATTCAGTTACTTTGCTTCTGATGAAAACGCCAATAGAAAAGTTGAAAGAAATATTGAGATTTGTATTTTCCCAAGCATTCCATTACAACCTCAACTGAAAGCGTAAGCATAAGAGAGAATTATAGCCATTTGAGGTTCAAAGAAAAAGAACTCTCTAAATATAACTCCTTTTCACTTCTGCTTCCACTCGTGCATCTTACACATGTTGTGGTCCTTCTAGATACAACAGACTAGATGCACCTGGTAGACTGACCAGCAGGGAAGCAGCCAGAAGACTAAAAACCTCAGAAAGTTACAACCATAACTATAATACCTTCTTTATCTAAAGAAAAAAAATAACAGTGCAATAGTTAATTTCAGTGATAATAGCATGAATTACAGAAGATTGCCACTATGTTAGCCACAAGGACGACAGAGATTTAATACCCCAGCTATACGAATAAGCAGGCAGTACCCCTCCCCCCTTTTTTTTTTAATAGAAAGAGGTTTTCACTGACACAAAGTCAATGAACATAGTGATTTTTATTGAATAAGTTACAGCAGAAAACCAGGGCTGCCTCCTTCAAATTAGAGTTCACATAAAACACAGTAATTGCTGTAAGGGGGGAAGGTACTTGGATGCTAAAATACAGTAGAATGGAGTTCCATTTTATAGAATTTTATGGATGGCAACTAACTTTACTGCACATGGACCACTCATCAATAGACTAAGAACAAAAAGTAACACTAATTTCTGAAAAGCAACTTCAGAGTATGAAAAGCCAGTATATTGACTAAATGGTAACCAAAGTAGCTCAGTAGTACCAAGACCAATATAATGAGGAAGGTAAGCAAAAATGCAAACACCACATAATTACCACACATTTTCTAGACCGAGTACTTAGAGAAGAAATTAATAGAGGCTATAGTTAGTCCTGAAACATAGGTTAAAGTCATGTATTTCCTGCGGACATAATTAAATATCAAATACAGCTCAACTCATGAAACACTATTTTCTCTGCTTTTAGCTGGGAAAACCTATTCCACATTATCTGCTAGGCATATGTGGCTTTTTTTAATTGTGAAATGAGATAAGGTTGAGGCCAAAGATCAAGTAAAATTTAGTAGTTAAGTGTTAACCTACCTCCCTCCACCAAATTCTCAAAGCTGTAACTGACTATCAATTTGATTAGTTAAGCACTATTGCAAACTCAACTTCAAGCAAATTTTAGTTTTGCCTGTTTCTGAGGGATGGACGAGTCTCAGACTAAGGCATTACTACTTCAGCACCTTTACAGCCTGCTTGACAGAAGCCAACTTGGGCTCCTGGCTCAGCCACTTTGACTTAGGTTTTATGCACCAAGCCTCAGTTACACCAATGGAATCAAGAGCACACTTTGACTTCCACCAACATTTAAGAGGCAAATGAACTCTTCAACCACACTAACTTATTACTCACATCCAAAAACTTTACATAAATAATTCCTACCAAAAGATGAACTATACAAACAACCCTATCAAAGGATATTCTCTTTATCAAGGCAAAAAAGGAGGACAAGGACAGCACAAGTTTGTAAAATAAACATTCCCACTAGCTTCTGATTCAGGATAGGAACTTAAATTTGGAATAAGAAAAAAAAAATTGAAGTTGCACTGTCAGTTGATTTTGGACATTCTCTACCATTCCATTAAGAGACCTATTAAAGCAATGTTTGAAGTTATTCCTGTGCACCAGTCCTTGCCTTCCCAGAACAGCCTGCCTCTGGAGAACCTTTCTTGGTTGCTTCAGTTCCAAACAACGCTACAAGACAGAAAGACAAGCTCCTGAGTTTGTAATGTTAAACTTCAAGGGGAAATGTTATAAGTTGAGCAACTTCTTATAAGGGAGAAGTCAACAATGACTTTCAGAAAAACAGATCAATCTTTGCATTACAAGAAGTCTGCATGGCAAAAATAAAGTTTATATGACCTGTACATTTTAAACTGAAACATTACTAAAACAACAAATTTGTAAATCTGAAACTTTACTTAAAACCACAACATTAACTGCCAACTAGTTACTCTCTCCTTGGAAAAAGCAAATCTCAAGATTTTAAGTCTTCCCTACCATATTAGAGTAGCTCTTCCAGCTTCTTCATATAGCAAAGAAGAAGTTAAAACTGACAGGCCAAGCATGCACCAGTTTTTAAACATGAATTGCTTAAAAAGATTGTAATTTATGACACTGTTTTACATAATCAGCTGATTGTTCCACACAGTCCAGCAACTGACAGGCCATTATGAGCCATTCATTTCAATATGGACCCTACAGAGCTGAGAATCATACACAGCTTCTTATAAAGCATTTCTATCACTGGCTCTACCTTAAAAGCAGTCTCTGACCCCAGTTGTAGCAAAATCTCCCAAATCACTGCTCTCCCCCTATCCCCACAAGACACAGAATTTGCATCAGAACTACATCAGAAAAAGCCATTTTCCCCTGATTATGTGATTAAGATACTGACAACCTACAAAAAAGGCAGTTATGGAACTGGGAACTGCCAAAGGGAAAAGTCAGTCTCCACGTACTGAACCACTTCTATCACTAACACAATTTTCACCTTCATACAAGAACTGCTCAGAAATATTGCACTTCACAGAGCAGCATGATTATGCTACGCTAATTCAGAGGAGTCATAACTGGCACTGTTTGCCCACAACAGCTGTAGGACAGGATGAACAGAAAAAACTTTTTAACTTGCATCACAAGATCACAGAGAGATTAAAATCAGTCACCGATTTTTCTGTCTTCTACATTTGAACACAATCCAGTGTGTACATACCTCCTACTACAGAAAAAAAGTGAGCAGGATGCCAAGTATAGTTACGGCATCATCACCACCCATACTTTGGTTCATAATACAGAAGTTTTAACCGCTCTCGAGTTTGTGCTGAACATAAAAATGCCATGGCAGTATCAATACTGGTATTTGAGACTTAACTTTTATCACCAGATCTACCACAGACCTTCTCAGCAGTAGTTACTGACTTGCCCCTTACCTTACCTCCACTATGAGGCAAACTTTCTCTAAAATTCTGTACTGGAATTAAGAGGAGCCACAGCTATTTAAATCAAGTGTAACTTCACTGGTATCCTCAACTCACTAAGAACGAGTGGCTCAAGTGTAACCAGCTTAAGGACACGCGTCTCTCCTTCCTACTTGGAACACTGGGTCCTGTTGATTGGCTAATGCTGCTTACTTCTTAAAGCTGCCTACACGAGTTTTGCTCCTTAATAAACAAAGTAGTTCAAGCACCAAACATTTTCTGTTTGGGCGGAACAGAGAAAAGGAGAGTACTTTTTTTTCTTGAATTAAGTTCTTAACAGTTACAGGTGAGGTTAGTGTTTCAACATTAACTCTCATTTATCCCCATCCCCTCCAAGACTGCAGAAACTCCAAATCTGCTAATGCTCACTTCACAGCTTCTCAAGGCTCGTAGCAGAGCCAGGCTAGTAACTCTTCATTTACCTGCACACAGCCTAGAGATAACCCTGATCACAGATCGGCATGGTTACAGTTTCCTTCTTGCCGGAAAAAAGCTTCCAGGAAGGAAGGATGGAACAGCACTGCTCTCCGAGTACAGAAGGGGAGCAGCGGGGAGGGGAGCCGGGGTAAGCAGGGCACAAGACAGTGGCGCTCCCCCGCCTGAGCCCGCAGCAAAAGGCCAGGAGACCTCGGCCAGCTCAGGGACGACAAGTGCGAAGCCTCCCCTTCCCCCACGGGCACAGGCGCAGCCTCAGCACCAGGAGGAGCCCGCAGCGGCGGCGAGGCCGCCGGACTTCCCTCCAGGACACCGCCCCTCCCGCCGGGCCGGGACCACCCCCGAGCAGCACGGGGTGACCGATAACACTATCGGCGAGGCCGGGGCCGCCTACAGCTGGGAGGTGGAGGAGGATGATGCGCGGCGGGGCCCGTGCCAGTGGCAGGGGAGGGGAAAAAGGGGAAGGGGAGGTCCCGTACCCTCGAGTCCCCGCACAGCAGCAGCTCCGGGTAGCTGAACTCCACGCAGCCCTCCTCGGTGGGGTCCTTCAGCACCACCTCCAGGCGGACCGTCTGGCGGAGCGGGAGCGCCTCCCGCGGCGGCGGCGGCTCCTGCCGCCCGCTCTGGCGCGGCGGTGGCGGCGGCAGCGGCGGCGGCTCGGGCCGGGGGGGCTCCCGCTGCGGCGGCTGCTCGGGCCGGCCGGGGTCGCGGGGCGGCTCCGGGCGGGCGGCGCTGTCGCGGGGCGGCTCGTTCGGTGGCGGCTCCGGCGGCGGCGCCTCGCGGCCCGCCGGCGGCGGCTCCGGGTCGCGGCCCGCCGGCTCCCGCTCCAGCGCCGGGCTCTCGCCCTCGCGGCGCCGCACGGGTGACAGGCTGATGAACGGCACCCGGCGCGGCTCCGCCATCCTCCTCCGCCGCCACCCCCCCCCGCCCGCCGTCCGCCGGCCCCCGCCTCACGCGTTCGGTGACACCGCTCTCTGCGCTCCCTCCCACCGGCCCCGGCTCCTCCCTCTCCCCTCCTCCCCGCTCCGCCGCCCGGTCGGAGCTGCCCCCTACGTTCTCCTCGCCGCCCCCGCCATCTTGGCGCCCCCCCACATAAATAGAAGCAGCCCCGCAGCCCGCGCAGGCGCACCCGGGCCCGCGTCGCCGCTGTTATTGCTCAGCTTCCCCCGGACGTCAGCGCGGCCGCCGTTGCCCCCCCGCTGTGGCCGCCGGGCCCGCCTCCGGTTGCCGGGGCGATGCGCACGCCGGGCCCGCCGCCCGCCCCGCGCGGGGCAATGGCGGCCGCGCCGCAGCCGCCAGCGCTCGCGCTCCTTCTCGCCCGAGGGCGGCCCCGGCGGTGACCTCCCCCTGCCCCTGAGGCGGGATGGGAGGAAGGGGCAGCCCCGGCCCGGGATGCTTCGTGCTCGTTGGGATCGGGGCTGCCCCCGCTGCTGGCGGGGCTGCGCAGCGCTCGTCCTCTCGGGGCAGCGCGGGCCTGCTTGGGGGAAGGTGCGCTGAGACCTCTGAAAGTCGGCGGCTGTGGGTCAGTCACCAGAGGAAAACCCTAAATCCTGCCCACGGTCGAGGGCTCAGTGCAAGGGAGAGCGGCCGTTCCCAGCCTGAACGGCGCGGACGCGCCGTGTGTCGATGACATCAACCCACACTGAGTGGAGCAGCTGAGGACATCGGGGGTTGACAAAATCGCGCCGTACGGGGCTGATCCCAGCGTGCTCCCGCAGAACAGCAGCCGCTGCTCTGGGTGCCGGTCTGTCCTCGGGGGAAAGGGAGCTTTTTCAGTGACCATTCCCGGTCTGTGGTGTACCAGCTTACAGGCTGCAGGGAGCAGTTGAGGATTGGTGAGAAGTTGTCCTGTAGAGAGGGGACAACGCAAAGAAGGCAGGGTTTGAGCAGCAGCGAGACTTCCGTCATGAGCAGGAGCTGCCTGCAAACAGCGCAAGTGTTTCAGTCTGTCACCACCTACTTTGACAGACTGGTAGCTGGTATTTCCAGATGGAGGTGTGCCACCAAGGCAATGCAAAGTTTCAGGAAGCTTATGAACATCTTCATGTACATTGCATCCTCCAGCTTAATTGGGGCAGAGAAAAAGAAGTTGGATGGGGGTTTTTTGTAATTTTTTAGGCTCAGAAATACTAGGTAGGAGTGGTTTTGTTCTCTTTTTTAAAAAGTACTCATTTTATGCAAAGCAAACAAATAACACATTGTGTTATTTTGGATGATTACAGCAGACCATTCTCTGAATCACATTACTCCACTTTCCAAATTGCATTCATCACCATGCTTGATACTTTCCTCTCCTTGCGTAGGAGTTCTTTTGACTTGACTGTTTACTTTCTTCTAGACTCCAGAGAAGATCCCTGATGTTAGAACATCATTAACAGGGAATGGAGAGCATTCCAGAATACTGCTTGCAGCATGGAATCACTGGAATGACTGACCTGATCTGAGAAATGTAAACTGTCTCCTTCTGAAGCTTGAAAGGCTTTGTTGAGCTTTATAGTCAAGGAGACTTGCTTTATCTTAAAACCTTGTATGTTCTAGTATGACTAGCAAGCTCAGTAGAGGTATTCCTCAAATATGTTTTTAATTTCAGCGTCGTAATAAAATCATTTGGTGATCCCACTTGTTCTCCTGTTGAGAATTCATACAACTATTTGGTGATGTACATAATAATCCAATGTATTTCTGGATTCAAACTGAGTGAGTGTCATTAAGCTCCAGACCTGCAGATCCCGCCAGGAAGATTTTACTTCTCATCGAAGTCCCTGTGTAGTCTATGTCATTAAACTCTGTGATGATAAAAAGGGGTCTTTCCTCTGGAAAAGACCAGTTTATTGCTCCTCAAACAGAAATCTTATGTGGAAGTCTCAGGCTCTTCTGCAGCTCTGCTGAATGCTTGCTTTCAATTACAAAATAGGAGACTAGACATTGAAATAAGTACAACAGGAATACAGCAGGTATTTTGTTCACAGGTAATACTTGGATATATCCATGGAAAGTGATGAAGATAAGCTGTGCATTTTAAGTATCCAACCTAAAAATCCATTTTGTCTTTCAGTCCCCTAAGATATATGGGACTATATTCAGAAGTAATGAATGTAGGACAGGTACACCACAAGAAAATGAGTTTTGCAAGTATCTGAATCCAGTGTTTCAGATTGTCTTGGTTGTAGTGTAAAAAGAGTGTAGGGCAATAACTGGAATATGTTAATGTTACATTTGGTCTAAAACACTAGAAGCACTCATGAAAGACTCACAAGAAAACAACCAAATCTAGTAGATCTTAAGGAATTCAATTTTGAATACAGCAGGAGTGTTTCAGGCTTGTGCCATATCAAACAGTTTCGAGAGGAATTCGATTTGTCATTTTTTTCATAATTTTTTTTTCTGCTCTACTACCTGTTTTGTTCTTTGGCATCAAGCTCTGTCTCAGGTATTTTTCTACATAGCATAATGAGTTGCACTTCTCAGTGCAACACAAAACAGTAACATTTTAAAAAAGTAATTAGAGATAGATGTTTTGCCAATTATTTTGCTTTCTCTCAGGATATGACCATGCTAATGTAGTCCAACATCAAATACGGATTCCTTCCCTTTGTATGTTATCTGAAGAAAACAATAATGGAAGTGTCTCTTGAAAGAGGCACATTAAGAATTACAAAAACTGTGACAACTGCAGAAAGAGAGTAAGTTTGAGGTGAAATTGAAGCTGCTTTTTATTTCACTAGTGAAAGCCAGTATAAGCAGATCAGACAGAGTGGATGCTTGGAACTACAGATGCTACAGCCACATCAGCGAGTGGCAGTTTGTTGACCTGACTTTGTTTCAAATACAGAAAACAGAGACAGCACAGCAAGCCACTAGAGGCCTCTACCCTGGTGCAAGTGCGATCTCCCTGCTCTGCTTTGGGTTGGCTTCTCTGTCTGTAGCACTCTCTCTTCTTTTTGGGCTGTTACTGTTGGTTGTGGTAGAGTCAGAGCTGTACCCTGTTTCATTATAGACCAGTGCTCACTGTTTTCCTGGACCTAATGGAAGCTGCTGTGCTGCCTCTGTGGCTTCTCTAGGCTGGACACTCTACAGCAGCAAGCCCAGGGTCCCATGAGAAGGGCAGAGCTGTCCTTATCAGTTATGTCCGTCTGCAGGGAGCTTTCAGCTTCAAAGGCTGAATACTTTACTTCCATGAGCTATGAGCTTATTGTCCTTGGACAGGAATGCGGGAGTAAACGTGTTTTGCTTATACCAATAACAAGCTTAGGTGGCACAGGATGGCAGTTTGTATTCTGCTTCAGCTGAGCACTGGGACCTACGTTTTTCCATCGGTTGCCTCCTCACTATATCCTCCTTGGTTTCTTATGGTCCAACAAGGCATCTTGTTGATCCTTATGGTCCGTTCACCAAAGCTGCTGCCACAGTACTTGCAACTTCCACTGCTGTGTCAGGAGATGGTAAAGCTGCAGGTAGGATGGTGTTTGTGTAGCTTTTACTAGAACTGCTGCTGCATCATAAGAATCCACTGCACCAAAAACATGGCTGGCATTGCTGGTTTTCTTTTTAATGATGCTCTCTGAATTCGTGTGCTTTTTTTTGTTTTTTTAACTTCTCTTCCCTCCTACGACTTTATGAAGTTGCTTCCTGCCAGATCCAGAATCAAGGAATAAGCCCCCCCCTTTATTTCCAAAACTAACCACCAATGCCATTGAAACCATTTGGAAAACTAATTTCTCTGCAGGATCCTTCCCCCTCTTTTTTCTTTTTTTTTTTTTTTTTTTTAAATCATTGTTGTTCTTTAAAGTAAAAATACTGTTCCCTGTGGAACATACCTCTAGTTTTCTCTCCTCAGGCACATGTACTTAAGTCTTACCAGCAGCTTTGCCACAGCCTTAGAAAGTCCGAAGTACACTTTTCAGTGAAGTACACAGTGTTTGGAAGGACTGTAAGCAGGTAGAGAAATGCCAGATTCACTCTAGAAAGAGTGCATTAGCTTCAGGTAATTATGATATCCTTTAGCAGGACAGTAATATTCATTTGTCACAATTTCGAAGCAGAGGAACCATGATTGTGAACTTTCTCCTATGCACTGGTATAGTGCTCCCTGTGAACTAGTTAAACCTTACTTCTTGCAGAATGAAAGTTTGAGCCTGTGAGACACTGGATTCCTCTCCAGAGCTTCAAGAAAAGCTTTGAACAAATCTGATTGAAAGTGCAAAGTTTCAAAGGCAAAAGGAAGTTTTAAGAGTGGCAACAATTTTTATGGAAAAGGTTGTTATTGCTCCTGTAACCGGAGGTGCTTTTTACGTCTAGAAGTGGATTTAGGTGCATCTTTTGTTCACTTGCTGAGATGAGGAGTGGTCTTCCAACACCATATTGTGTGTCAGGACAACATAAATGGCATGACTGTGGCAGGTAGCTGATGAAAACAAAATGTTGGCTTCTATCTCACATTAAAAATAAGTTAGAAATCAGGGCAAGTTTTCATGTGAAAAAAGTAAAGGAATTTACGTGAGTGGGTGTGTCATGGCAATCAAGGGGGGGGGTGTTTTCTATCATCCATGCTGTTCAGGTGCAATTTCTCAATGAGAACTTCAAAACTGACACAACTTCCATATGACTGGTGATTTTTATGCTCTACAGAACATTGTAACATACTTTAAGCTAATAGATAGGGTAAGACTGTTGACTTAGAGGAACCTCAGAGAAAATTCAAAGCCTCAAGTGCTGCATTTGGACAGAATAGCAGGTTGGGAAGAAAAAGCAATGAGAGAAAAAAGAAAGAAGAAGAGCATGCTTGCCAAGGAAGAGCAAGCTGCTCAAAGAAGCTGCTATGGGAACAGCTTTTGATCCTGGAGAGAAGATGAAATATTGAGACATTAAACATCAGCTCTTAAGTAGGTGCATTTACCAAGCAGAACATAAGTAATTTGTT